CAATGCACTGTTTGTCCTACTTCCATCAGCAAAACAACATAAGAACATTAGGGCTCAAGCAAGAAGCGTTCATATAATCAAATTAATTCCTAAATTGTTCGTTTGAGTGATTAAGGGGAAAATGCTGCATTCACCATTTATCTACTGAATCTAATCTTCTATCATTTCATGAGTCTCTCTGACTTCAAATCTTATGCAATCAGTTAGCTGTTATCCAAATCTAGTTTTTCACTAAAGAACTAAATTTGTCGTTACTTAGAAGCAATTTCCCATTTCATTAGGCCAAATCATTATATATTATGGTAAATTATATTTTTCTTCACTGATGACAGAACTATTGGTCACAAAACCTGCCGCTGGCATGTTGGTAACCAGGGGAGACTAATTTGATTTGTTGTCATATCACCAAAAGAAAGAAAAGTCATTGAGCTCTATGTGAGATCAAGCTACTGTTGAAATGACGTCTCAAAAAGAAAATGGATAGAAAATTCAGCAAGGAGATTCAGTAACATGTTGCTGCTTGAAACTCTTCTAATGGTAAGACATGAATCCAGTTCAATTCTGGGCGCCGCCTTGGCTTCGTTTTTACACCAGATATAGAATGTTTGGGTCTGTCTGAACTCTTCAGTCCTCCAGTACACATGGACATGCAAAGTAGGTTAAGTAGATTAAGCAGAATGTTGTGTTTGTTAATGGTGATCTCATTTTAAGCATTTCAATCATATGATGCACCTCTTGCCGCCACCAGTAGTTTTCATTGACTGTCTTACTTTTACTAGAAATGCTTTTGCAGGTTTTTCAGATCTATTTCTTTTTTCTTACTTTCTAACATTGGAACCACGGCATGTACAGCTCTTGTGATTTTTTTCCCCACTGATTGGCTTTTGCTGGGCATTCAATTCTGCTGTTCAGCTGTCATCCAGCAGAACCTCGATCTCCAAACTGGGAAAGTCTCTTTTCTTTGTCTTCAATGCCATTTCTGGGAATGAACAACATCTAAGAGCTGGAAGTCATTGGCTGGATAATTTATGGCGTTATCTGAAGTTGAGAACATCTGTTAAATCTGATGTGGCGCACTCATAGGAGCCCACAGTTGTAGAAAAAGTTAAGGCTCTCCATATAATGTCATTAATCATTTTTTTAACAGTTTCTTTCCTAAAACTGTGAGGCAGTGGTAACCCCGTAATCAGACTCTCATATCCCATCTTACCTTCACACTCATCAGTTCACACGGCCACATATAAAACTTATACTTGTGTAAATATTACATTTCCATGTACCTACTTATCTTTCTAAAGATGTTTCAAGATGGATGGATGGAGGGATGTTAAATTACATAATTAATTTAAGTTTTGTTTCTGTATTGTTCATATTTTTAATGATGTTCGGTAATAACGTTTTGCTTTTCTATAGGTGTTGCTCATTTCTATCTATTTGGTGCATCCCTACAGCTACTTGAAAGTATTTTTGCAAGTAGCTGTAGGGATGCATTAACTATCATTTTATTTCTTTACTTCAGGGCAGCATGAATAGATTTTTCTCCAGACTGGTATAGATCTTTAAAGAATTGCAATGCAACAAAAAACAGGGACTGAGAAGTGGAAAGTGCAATAGCAAAAAATGGATTTGAGTCATGTGCTCACCTGTCAGTGGTCCTTTCTTGACTTGTTACTATGGCAACAGCACTTTTTTTTTTTTTTGCATTTGTGCGTGCTGTGCTGGGCTCTGATGTGAGCCTATGTGTGTTTAAGACAGGGGATGTAATTCTGCCTGTCACCAATGCAGCCCAGAGCGGACGCTTCAACTACTGGTTGCCAAGACAACAGGCAAACACATCACTTCTTCAGCGGCTTTATAAAACACTGAGTATATTAGGTATAAGGATGTTTGAAATCCATTATCAAAGCTATTAGCTAATTATTATGAAAAATAAGAGCCATCCTTATGATATCATTTTAAATCTAGTTATTAGATTCATGCTGTTTTTCTTTCTCTGTAGATTGCATAAACAGCAGATCATAGTAGACAGGTTAATTTAATCCCTCTTGCTTACCCTGTCAGGCTAAACATTGTAATTATTAAACACAGTCAGGTCTTATGCTGTAAACTTCTAACCACTGACAATTATGATGTAGACAAAGTTTACACTAATGTGTGCAGATTAGGATTTAAAATCATTTTTGGTCATAAGAATTTGGTCTCCCATAGGAAATTAATGGGCCATTCCATATCTTCAACGTTGGAATACCAACTCACCACCAGTCTAATCCTTCGCTCCCTCCAAATATTCATCTCCTATATCAGGATCCTGAACGGACTGCTCCAAAATGACATAATTAAAATAAACAAAATTAATGAAATTAAAATATTACTTTAAACTTCGATCTACCAGAGCTTAGAATAATTTTTATTACCTTTAGATGAAAACGTACCTTAATTTAGCTTACAAACAACTTCAACAAAAAAAATTAAAAGAGAGATTGGAAGATTGGACTCAAACTTTTTTATATAATCTATGCTTCTAAATAAAACAGGTTCCAAATCAATCTCCCTGTTTGCTGTTTCTCAGCGTGTTGGTTGCCAACAGATGTTGCTGGTTTGTGTTTCATCAATTTGGGTCAAGATTATAACAGCTTCAATAGTAGAGCCCAGATATCCCTCTACTAGGGATATCCGTTATCTTATTGTAGGAGATCCAAGCATGTTAACACAGCGGAATTTAAATGCAGTTTCTCCAGAATACATTTAGTCTGATTCAGGGTCTCCTCACAGTTTTTGCTGTTTCAAGAGAAATGATCTGGGGTTGTATATGTTTCCAATAACAAGCCTTATGTGCTGGGCATGACCGTCACTAAAACAGACTCTTCATATTAATCTGTATTAATTATGTACTATTTTCTGTAGACACAATTTTATATATTGTGTTAAGAATTATAACTATATTCTAAATATCAATTATAAAACTATGACGTTATGTTTGGGGATGTAAAATGTTTCAGATTATTGTGTTTTAATGTTTTACAGCAGTTTTAAGAAAGACAAGCTAACAAAATATAAAATCTTAAATTAGCGCAAAAACTTAAGAGCAGTTAAAGAAATGACAATACAAGAGACAGAGAAAACAAACCTTTGAGGTATTGCACCGACCAACACTTTAATGTAATTTGGTTATACATCCGGTAAGGAAACAAAAAAATATTATAGACTTAATAAAGACCTACAGGTGCTGGTCATAAAATTAGAATATCATGAAAAAGTAGATTGATTTCAGTAATTCCATTTAAAAAGTGAAACTTGTATATTATATTCATACATTACATACAAACTCATATATTTCAGATGTTTATTTTGTTTAATTTTGATGATTACAAATGACAACAAATGAAAATCTCAAATTCATCATATCAGAAAATTAGAATATTGTGAAAAGGTTCAAAATTGATGGCCCCTGGTGCCACACTCTAATCAGCTAATTAACTCAAACCACCTGCAAAAGCCTTTAAATGGTCTTTCAGTCTAGTTCTATAGGCTACACAATCATGGGGAAGACTGCTGACTTGACAGTTGTCCAAAAGACGACCATCGACACCTTGCACAAGGAGGGCAAGACACAAAAGGTCATCGCTAAAGAGGCTGGCTGTTCACAGAGCTCAGTGTCCAAGCACATTAATAGAGAGGCGAAGGGAAGGAAAAGATGTGGTCGAAAAAAGTGTACAAGCAAGAGAGATAACCGCACCCTGGAGAGGATTGTGAAACAAAACCCCTTCAAAAATGTGGGGGAGATTCACAAAGAGTGGACTGCAGCTGGAGTGAGTGCTTCAAGAACCACCACACACAGACGTATGAAAGACATGGGTTTCTGCTGTCGCATTCCTTGTGTCAAGCCACTCTTGAACCACAGACAGCGTCAGAAGCGTCTTGCCTGGGCTAAAGAGAAACAGGACTGGACTGCTGGTGAGTGGTCCAAAGTCATGTTCTCTGATGAAAGTAAATTTTGCATTTCCTTTGGAAATCAAGGTCCCAGAGTCTGGAGGAAAAGAAGAGAGGCACTTCATCCACGTTGCTTGAAGTCCAGTGTAAAGTTTCCACAGTCAGTGATGGTTTGGGGTGCCATGTCATCTGCTGGTGTTGGTCCATTGTGTTTTCTGAGGTCCAGGGTCAACGCAGCCACATACCAGGAAGTTTTAGAGCACTTCATGCTTCCTGCAGCTGACCAACTTTTTGGAGATGCAGATTTCATTTTCCAACAGGACTTGGCACCTGCACACAGTGCCAAAGCTACCAGTACCTGGTTGAAGGACCATGGTATCCCTGTTCTTAATTGGCCAGCAAACTCTCCTGACCTTAACCCCATAGAAAATCTATGGGGTATTGTGAAGAAGAAGATGCAATACACCAGACCCAACAATTCAGAAGAGCTAAAAGCCACTATTAGAGCAACCTGGGCTATCATAACACCGGAGCAGTGCCACAGACTGATCGACTCCATGCCACGCCGCATTGCTGCAGTAATACAGGCCAAAGGAGGCCCAACTAAATACTGAGTGCTGTACATGCTCATACTTTTCATGTTCATACTTTTCAGTTGGCCAACATTTCTATAAATCCTTTGTTTTTATTGGTCTTCAGTAATATTCTAATTTTCTGATATGATGAATTTGAGATTTTCATTTGTTGTCATTTGTAATCATCAAAATTAAACAAAATAAACATCTGAAATATATGAGTTTGTATGTAATGTATGAATATAATATACAAGTTTCACTTTTTAAATGGAATTACTGAAATCAATCTACTTTTTCATGATATTCTAATTTTATGACCAGCACCTGTAAAACTCATTCCTCCAATTTGCTGTTACATGCAAACATCTGATTTAAAATACAGCCTCCTTTCCCTCCAATTAGGCTTTTACTTAGTAACTAATCAATGTTTTCTGCTTTTTAAATGAACATCTTTGTTATGTATAGACAATTCATATATTTCTTTTTCTCATAAAGTGAGCCTGGGATGACGGAAGTGGAGCCTGTGCTGGACTTTGCCTCTTCGGGCCGCTCTGGGAGGCGAAATGCCCTCCCAGACATCCTTGGATCCCCAGCAGGAGTAAATCCTGGCGACCTGCCTCTTAAACTGGCTGAGCTGTCTCTCGAAGGTTCGAGCACATTCATTTGTTTTCCATCTTTGTCCTTTCTAAGTAAACCACTTGATTACAGGGCTCGTTAAAAATTATTCGGATAATTCTATCAAAATACAAGATATTATATTTTGCTAATTTAATCACTGTTATTATATGTATTTCTAAAGAAATATTTCAAAGACCATATTGAGTTGAAAATGAATAAAGCCTCCATTTGCTTAAAATCACTGCTTCAGAGAGAGGATGATAAAGTTCATTCAATTCTGGTATGACTTAATGATGAATGTTTTGAAAAGATCTGTTGGACGAGTGTCATAAATCACCTTTATTTTTCTACTTCAGTCTAAATAAAGCTAACACAGGTATTATGATAACACAAATGTTTGCCAGGAATGTCTCTCATATTAACACCCCAATTAGAAGAGTTTTGGCACACTAGTCTGTGAATTCTCCATACTTTAAGGTAGTTTGTGCAAATATATGTATTCATTACTGTGAACACAAAAAATCAGTGATGCGACTGATCTATAAGGAAAAAAAGTGGCCAAAATGCTATTTTTTAAGCTTTTTTTCAGCACAGGGCGGTTATAGTATGGATTTGTGTCTCAAGTTTGTCTTTCAAAAACTGGCGAATAGGTCATCAAGCAGCATGTCACATAACAAGCAGAATCTATGCCAGATCATGCATGCAGGGGGGGATTTACTATTAGGCAATAATAGGCAGTTACCTAGAACCCCAAGCCCGGGGGCCACATAAAACTCAGTTTAGACTTAGACAGATTTATTTTGTCATTTTGGATACACGAGTGTAAACAAAAAGAATTTTTCTTAAAAAAACAGCTCTAGACTATTTCATTTTTTAAGTGCAGCATTGAAAACAGTAACAAATACATTAGAAAAAGTAATATAAACATGACTGTATACTTACAGTTCCAACACAAGTCTCTTCCCAGAGGGCAGCAGGGAGAACAGTCCATGGTGGGGGTGAGAGGGTTCATTTATCATGTTATGGGCTTGGGAAATGCAGCACTGGGATGAAATGTCCATAGTTTACGTCTATGGTTAATAACAATATTCCTTATTTGTGCACATTAATTATGTTTCATTACTTTGAGACATCATGAAAAGTCAGCTAAATACAAAACATAGAGGGGAAAACAACAAAAGGGACAAGAAGAGAGGGACAAAACCTAGAACAGATAATGGATGTCTATTCTATTAACATTTTTGTATCTGTATAATGGGTCTGTTTTATGTGTTGTCTTCTCAATTCAGAGGGCCCCCCGTCTTTGCCCAGGGCCCCAAATTTCCTAAATCCACCCCTGCATGCTTTTATACTGCACTAATCCAAGAAGTTGTTAATTCAAATATGAAAAAAGGGGGCTGCTAACTTGGAATTTGGAACTTGGATTTCACTCTGAAATCTGTAAGACCCTTACATTTACACAACCATACTTCATATATTAGATCTGTTTTTGAGTAGTGACTTTGTCATGATGTTTTAGAGGTCCGACCCAAAATGCAGAGAACCACTCAGAGAGCAAGGCAAAGCTTTAACAGGTTTATTGAGGTAAGGGTAGAAGGGGGGTATGATCTGGTGAACAGGAACTAGGAAGTCTAGAGGGGATATCAAAACGGTTAGCTCAGGGACCGTGGGAATCTTGAATCCCGTAAGTAAAATGCTAGTGAGGGACTCACGTTTTGGGGGGGGTTCTTATCTCACTTTGCATCTAGTCTGTGTGGGTTGATCCAGAGAAGAGGGGACATGTTGAAGAGTGGACAGGTAGATATCTTTGGACCCCGAGGAGCACTGGAGCGGACTGTCACTTGGATTTCCGTGAGGGACTTGACCGTGAGGGACTCAGTGTGAGCTCAGAAAACGATCCTTCCAGGGGAAGAAGACCAAACTTCTAGTATGCAGGAGGACTTCCTGCCCAAGGCAAAGACAAAAACAAGGTTGGACTCAGAGAAACTAAGGCCCCGTCCACACGAAGACAAACCCTGGCCTAAACGCACAAATTTTTCACCAGACCAGCCTCTCATCCATACGAAGCCGGCGTTTCGGGGGTCTGTAAACAATCTTTTTTTATTAAGCCTTCAGAGTGGGAAGATTTTGAAACGCCGTTTTCGCGTTTCCATCTTCAAGCTCTAACCGCATTTTTTTTTTTTACACGCATGCGTCATAGCGTCGCCTCTAAACACGCATGCGCGACACAGTATCACAACAACAATAACGCCGTACTGTGTTGAATGGTTGCTGCTCATGCTACTCACCCTGCTGTCGGGCTTACAACAGAATCTTCTTCTTCTGGAATATCTCCAGGAAGAACAGAGCAATATCGACAACATAGGTCAGCACCTGAATTTGACTGAACCACGAAAATGGACCCGCAGGGCAACCATGTATAAATATTAGTGCACATGCCCAACATTTCGTCGCCTATTTTTGCTTTGGCACCACAGCGCCACTTACAGGCCTGGCATACATTTTGCAGTGTTTTCATGCATTTGTGTGGACGATCACATTTATTTTACATCTCCGTCTTTATGTCAAACGTTCTGGAAAATATTAGCGTTTTGTGTTCGTTTTGACTTTGTTAAGACTCAGTTTGACTCAGTGAAACAAAGACTCAGGTTAGACTCAGCTAATCTAAGCATGGCTAGACTACCCAAAACTGGCAAACACTCTGGCGTCGAGGTAGTGACAGTCCACTGCTTAAGTACTCCTCCGCAGCAGGTGTGCAGGGAGGACCAACAATAACAGGGCGCCACCTGGTGGTGGAGGGAGAGACAGACACAAAACAGACCACACAAACTGGATTCCTGACAGACCTTTTTTATGAAAGCTGGCATGGGGGTGAATAGTATGCAGCAGTGATCCTAAGGCTGGAGTGGAACCCCCTTTACAACTATGTCGAGGACTAATAGCTAACTAGCTGGCTCTACAACTGAGACACCAAACAATTTGCAATATTGATATTCATTAAGGTAGTAGTAGCACATTTATTGTCAGCCCTGCTACCAATACTTTGAACCAGTTTCTCTTGCCAGCAGGACAGTAATTGGACGTCTCCTAAGACATTTCACAAAACTAGAGCTTGCAGAGAAAGAAGTGGTTGACCATTCCTTTGTAGATTGCCTAGAGTCTTTGCTCCTCAGGTAAACTCTCCTTTCAACTCATCTGATAGGTTGTTCTAAGGTTTACAACTGGAAATGACTTGACCTATCATTTAGATTTAGATAGACATTTCCATACTAACTGGACCACACAGTACTGGCCACACATTATTCACATAAACGTTTTAATAATTTTCTCAAAGGAAAAGCTGTCTTTTCTAAAAGAAAGATGAAAAATGTAGATTTAATGAATAAAACAAGTTCTCTTTCTCTTTTCTTTTTTATGACATATCCAACTCCTGCCAGATGTATCTTTGATGGTTTCTTTATCAGATGAAGGCTGTGACTCTAGCTTGGCCCCTCCTAAATTCTGACATTGTTTCCAGTCAGAAGTAACTGAAGAGAAAAGATTCGTTCCAACCTGAATTTGCAAGTCAGATAAACAATTTTGCACTCAAATGTTTTCTTTTGTATCATCGGGATATTAAATGAACCAATTTAGATGTAATTGAGGTCCAACTTGGCCAAGAACGCATCTAAGCTAATGCCAGAGTTTATTACCCACAATTCATTGCTGCATGTGTATATTGCACCTACACTTCGACTAAAGACACACTGTAGTGCGGGTATCTGGACTTAAAGTAATAGACCTTTGTGTCCTGTCATATTTTTACTCCTAAAAAACAGAAACTCTATTAGAAAATCCCAGTAACCCTGATTACCTTAATACAGATGATAATACAGAGATGCTTTTGGTACATTTATTGATATGTGTTGTGAGTGTACATTTTCCGCCATCTTCTTAAATAACAAGATTACCTTCTTTAAAGTTGCTTTTTGTAGCTCTGCGTCTCTCTCCTTGAACCCCAGTGGGCCTCAGCAGATAGCCGCTCACACTGAGCCTGGTTCAGCTGGAGGTTTCTTCCTGTTAAAAGGAAGTTTTTCCTCATCACTGTCACTGCAATCATGCTTAGTGTGAGGGATTGCTGAAGAGTCAATAAGACGATGCAATCAGCTGGTTTTCCTTAGATAGAAAACTTTGAATCAATTTGACTGGATGATCTGGTGAACTGGAAAGTGCCTTGAGATGACATGTGTTGTGAATTGGTACTATATAAATAAACTGAATTGAAACTGAATTGAATTCTTTTCTTTTTATGGTTACATTTATTTTAAAGGGTTTAAGATTATAAGACAATTGTGAAAGCAGTCTTTTACTGCTTGGAATTATTAATTTCAGATCGTGATTTTAACTAGTAATCCCTTTTTTTAGCTTAAATATAAATAACTTAACATTTTACTGTGTGGCATTCGGATTAGTAGCTCTTTAATTTGTAAGGTAACTGTATTCTGCTTGTAAAACCAAGTTTCAATCTTGTAGATGGCCCTGGAGGAGCTCAGTCACCCACGGCAGAGGGGCCTCCCGCACCACCAGAGAGCTCAGAGGAGAAAAATGGATCGTAGAACCTTGCTTGTTTAACTCCCTGAAGACAATGCAGAGATCAACTTAAAAAATGGGGAAGAAGCAAGGCAGGGAACGACCTGTGGAAGAATGAGCAGAGTTTGTCTGCATCTCCTTCATTGTGGAGCAGCAGTAGCTCAGCGGGAGAGACAGACACGGGGGGAGAGGAACCCAAGAGAGGACTGAAGACTGGAGCTTAAGACTGTTCAACACTTTGCACTATATGAGAAGATTCTGATGACACTCTGAGTCTGTTGGTGTTTATCTGTGCAAAGGTGGTGCAAACAACCACTGAGAAGACAATGCGGTTAATAAAAGGGATTGTAAAAGATTGCCCTCTGTACATTACTATTTTTCTATGTTTTATTTAAATCAAGGAACTCGTAGATATAATTTTTCCTGCTTTTGCTTTTTTTTCCCTTTTCACTACAGTCTACAGGTTGGAAACTTTTTACCCCATTGGCACAAACTAATACATAACTTCAGTGAATTATGAAATTTTTCTGGTCTAGCTTTAACTCTAAATCTGAAATTGTGTCTATATGTATTCAAATCTAAGGCTAGGCTGTGCTATAGTTGTTAAGTTCTTCCAGTTAGACTGTTCATTTTTTTCATACATTTTTGCTGTTTAATTAATTGGAGCAAATAGTGTGGTTTCCACACTTTGAGACATTCCTCTACAGAACAGTGTTCTGTTGCCAGTTATGCCCAATAGCGTTTTATGACATAGCTGATAGTTTAAGTTATTTACATTTCTTTATAGTTTTGATGATGGCTGCTGACTTTTCTAAATTTCTGAAAGTTTGTGCCTAGAGGTGGTTAAGCTATAAAGTACTGTTATCTTCTAACTATGGGGTACTAATATTTCCTCAGATGTAACTAGAGCTCCATCTTCACTACTGTTAGGACACCTGTTCTGTAAAGCTGCTCATTTTGTCTCGACTAAAGCATATCCCTGTACAAACATTTCACACTGGGAGCACGCCTGACTTCTGCCTCGCCACCCAGAGGAGAGTCTGCCTGTGTTCATCAACACCGAAGTGGAGCTGTGAATTGGCTGTGCTAGAACAGACAGAGTCCTGCCACGTCAGTTAACCGCTCAGTGCTCTTGTACTGTATATAAAGTGTACTGAAGTATAACTCACATGTCATACTTTGTGGTTACCAGACTGTACCTGCATAACTTACCTACAAAGAAATGCTGTTTTGAAATTGTCTCTATTGGATAAATGTTGTCGGTGACTGTCTTTGTATGGATGTGATCTCACGATTGCAACAAGTGAAAACCTTGTGCGTTGCTCTTTTTCAGAAGCTGTAATCCCAACATGATTGTTTTCATAAAGCCGTCTGACCCACACCATAGATTAGGGGTGTATTTTCTAGTGTCCTGATCTCTTCAGTGGTGCAGATGTTTCACTTAGCTGGCCTGAATCTATAATGTTGATTCTATCTGGTTGTGAAAATTGCCATATTAAACTCACAAGCTTTACATATTCCTCTGTGTGGAAAGCCATTTGTACGGTGGGATTTTATAGCTTTGCAAATCCTCTTTTATCCTCTGATTTCTGACAGCGTTGAAGTACCCACGACGTTTAGTATTTAAAGCACTTTTTCTGTGGTTTCACTATATATGTCTTTTTCCCAACATCTTTCCTGTTTTGTGTTTCTTTTTCTGCTCCAACACAAGTCACAATGATAGCTTCCCAATCCCCTCATTCGACTGTTAATAGTCAGTCATAAATTGAGTTTTGTCACTATTTAAAATAAAAGCTTTGCTTTCTGAGTCAAGAAAAACCATCACATTTAAAAGTTCTAAAATTAGAATGAGAGGCAGATCTTTAACTCCTTTACTATAAAACCAGCTCCTTCTATTTTCTTAAAAGTCAAATTTTGAGACTTAAACCTTCCTTTGTAATAAAGCTTATAATTTAATCATTGTTGTCTCTCTTGCATTTGTATCATTATTATCTCTCTTGCGTTGTAGGTCACATATATGATTTGATCAAAGTGAATAAAACATTTAGGTATATACAATAAAGTGTCTTTAAAATGCATTTATGTTGAATTTACATGAGAAAAACTAAAAAAATGAAATTAACAGAAACATTTAGAACTCAAATGTATTTATATAGTAAAAATAACATGCAAAAGATCAGAGAGAGCTTCAAATTATGAATTTGACAAACTTATTTGGCACCAACTGCTGATTGACTATTTCCACCACAGTGATCTGTTGCGTTTACAGAGTAGGGTCATAGAATAAGCAACTGAGTAAATGTAAACAACCGAGTGGTGCCCGACTTTACATGAGTGAATAAAGTGAATGTGATTGGTCGATTATAAATAGGGCGGGATTGTTGTGGCAGAAAGTTTGCAAGCAAGTCTGATTGCAGCCGGTTTTTTGGAAGCATCTTGCTAACCAGTTAGCAACTTAGTGCTGGTAGGTTCCCAATGGGAAATTCCATTGGGACCAAGTAGCACTAAATTGGTGACTTAGAAACGACACTGTCAAGGAACGCTATGGACAGCGGAAACATGCAATAGGAGGAGAGTTTAGTGTCGGAGGTCATGGATGAGTCTCCTCCATCATCCATTTTTTATTTAGAGGAGGAAAGCGGGGACGAAGATGTTGTGGAAGAGGACGCCAGGGCGGCAGAAGCTTGGTTTGGTGTAGAAGGCTTCCAGCCGTACACGTTTGAGCCCTTGCCTCGCAACGCTGCCAGTTCTGTTAGCTCTACGCCTGCTGAAGACACAGACGTCCATCCCCGCGAACACTGGGACGGAACTCTATGGGAAAGGAAAGGATTCTTATTTCTTATTTCAATCATTGCGTATATTAGCTGCAACATATGAATCAAGATTCTATGACCGAAAAAATTTACTGACAGATGAACGTTGATATATGATTGGCCGAATTTAGGTGTTCAGGCTGACGTAAAACTAACTGGCCTATGTAAGATAACGAGAAAAACCCCCCACAGATCTTAAGTATTTTAAGCATTTTATTTTTAAATAGAAACATGTTTAAGCCAGAAGAATTAGACATTTAAATAAGATTTCCCCGAAACTTTAAGGCAGACTGGATACAGCAGAAGGTGTTACACTGGAAACCCGTCAGAAGAACAAGAACAAAAAGGTGTAATTGACACAGAGTCTCCAAAATTGGACATTAAATGAAATGTACAATTTTTTGGGGGGGGAGTCATAACTGGACAAAGACAAAGTTGAGGAGTATTACATAACACTTCAGACACTCAACAATGCAACATTAACACAGCGGGAGTCAAATGTGCAATTGACAACTTAAAAGCTCATTTTTTTCCGCCCCTGGGGACCAACTGATTTTCCTTTCAGTGGTGCTCACCATGTCCAAACTTTCATGATCACAATGCTTTCGAAGATGCTTCCAAAAGGTTTATGTCAGCTCAGTTTTAGGTAAAGCTGTTATTAAAGCCACTTTTTATCTGATAAAACCATTTTATTTAGTATCACTATGTGTTTAACAAACAAACACATATTTAATTGGCTTCACATGTTGTTAAAAAACTACAGGTCAACCAGATGTGAAGCCTTTTTTTATTGAAATGTTTTTTTATTGTCAGCAAAACACAACTCTACACTGTTGCAGTATATATATATATATATATGCCATCAACACATATGCCCTACCAGTCATCAGATACCCCGCTGGAATAATAAACTGGCCAAAAGAGGAGATAGAGGCTACTGACATCAAGACAAGAAAGCTCCTCACAATGCATGGAAGGTTCCACCCCAAATCCAGCACTCTGAGACTGTACACCAAGCGTAGCGAGGGAGGCCGAGGGCTAGTGAGTGTCAAGACCACTGTCCAGGATGAAACCACTAGGATCCAGGAGTACATCAGGAAGATGGCCCCCAAAGACAAATGGCTTGGCGAATACCTCAGGCAGGAGAAAACTGAAAGTGAGGACAAGAAAGAGGAAGAAGAACCATCATGGAAGGACATGCACGGCGTGTACCACAGACAAATAGAAGAAGTGGCTGATATCAAAAAATCCTACCAGTGGCTGGAAAAGGCTGGACTGAAGGACAGCACAGAGGCACTAATCATGGCAGCACAAGAACAGGCACTCAGTACAAGATCAATAGAGGCCAGGGTCTACCACACCAGGCAGGACCCCCGATGCAGACTGTGCAAAGATGCCTCTGAAACAATACAGCACATAACAGCAGGGTGTAAAATGCAGGCAGGAAGTGCATACATGGAACGCCACAACCAGGTAGCTGTCATAGTGTACAGGAACATCTGCCATGATGAGTATGGGCTGGAAGTCCCAAGGTCAAAATGGAAGACACCTCCTAAGGTAGTTGAGAATGACCGAGCTAAGATCCTATGGGACTTCAAGATCCAGACTGACAAACAGGTGATGGCTAACCAACCAGACATCGTGTTGATCGACAAACTGCAGAAGAAGGCAGTAGTGATAGATGTGGCAATCCCAAGCGACAGCAACATCAAGAAGAAAGAACACGAGAAGCTTGAGAAATACCAAGGACTGAAGGAGGAGCTAGAAAAGATGTGGAAAGTGAGAGCAGCAGTGGTGCCAGTGGTAATTGGAGCACTGGGGGCTGTGACCCCCAAACTGGGAGAATGGCTACAGCAGATTCCAGGTAAAACAGCAGAGGTCGCAGTCCTAGGAACAGCTAAGATACTGCGCAGAACCCTCAAACTTCCAGGCCTCTGGTAGAGGACCTGAGCTTGAGGATGACACATACCACCCCACGAGGGGTGAGAAAACAGTTAGTATATATACATATATACATACATAAAAAAAAACTGTATATATATATATACATATATATATATATATATATATATATATATATATATATATATATATATATATATATATATATATATATATATATATATATATATATATATATATATATGTGTGTGTGCACACTCACCGGCCACTTTATTAGGTACACCTGTCCAACTGCTCGTTAACACTTAATTTCTAAGCAGCCAATCACATGGCGGTAACTCAGTGCATTTAGGCATGTAGACATGGTCAAGACAATCTCCTGCAGTTCAAACCGAGCATCAGTATGGGGAAGAAAGGTGATTTGAGTGACTTTGAACGTGGCATGATTGTTGGTGCCAGAAGGGCTGGTCTGAGTATTTCAGAAACTGCTGATCTACTGGGATTTTCACGCACAACCATCTCTAGGGTTTACAGAGAATGGTCCGAAAAAGAAAAAACATCCAGTGAGCGGCAGTTCTGTGGGCGGAAATGCCTTGTTGATGCCAGAGATCAGAGGAAAATGGCCAGACTGGTTCGAGCTGATAGAAGGGCAACAGTGACTCAAATAACCACCCGTTACAACCAAGGTGGGCAGAAGAGCATCTCTGAACGCACAGTACGTCGAACTTTGAGGCAGATGGGCTACAGCAGCAGAAGACCACACCGGGTGCCACTCCTTTCAGCTAAGAACAGGAAACTGAGGCTACAATTTGCACAAGCTCATCGAAATTGGACAAAAGAAGATTGGAAAAACGTTGCCTGGTCTGATGAGTCTCGATTTCTGCTGCGACATTCGGATGGTAGGGTCAGAATTTGGCGTCTATAACATGAAAGCATGGATCCATCCTGTCTTGTATCAACGGTTCAGGCTGGTGGTGGTGGTGTCATGGTGTGGGGAATATTTTCTTGGCACTCTTTGGGCCCCTTGGTACCAATTGAGCATCGTTGCAACGCCACAGCCTACCTGAGTATTGTTGCTGACCATGTCCATCCCTTTATGACCACAATGTACCCAACTTCTGATGGCTACTTTTAGCAGGATAATGCGCCATGTCATAAAGCTGGAATCATCTCAGACTGGTTTCTTGAACATGACAATGAGTTCACTGTACTCAAATGGCCTCCACAGTCACCAGATCTCAATCCAATAGAGCATCTTTGGGATGTGGTGGAATGGGAGATTCGCATCATGGATGTGCAGCCGACAAATCTGCGGCAACTGTGTGATGCCATCATGTCAATATGGACCAAACTCCCTGAGGAAT